ATCCATGAGTGTTTCTGTCCCAGTGTGGTTGACATACCAGTGTGAGCATGGGTCCTGTTTAGTGTGTGAGGAGGTGTGATGGGGGTTGGGTTGTGAGAAGAAGGCAGAAGCCCAGGCCTGTGGTTCCCAAGGAGCTGCAGTGGGCTGAGGCAGACTATGGGCCACAGGACCTGAGCGCCCACCTGTCCGTTCATAGGTCCTGCTGCAGCAAGGGATGGGGTAAGCAGGCTGGGCAGAGGGGCATGGGTAGGGACATGAAGACAGTGCAGTGCCTTGAGATGATCTCTCTGCAACTCGTACCCAAGTTCAGCCTCTGCTGTCACGATTGCCTCCCGTGTCATCCCTCTCTCTTTGAACTGCAGCAGGGGATGGGTTCAAGATCTTATGCTCCTGTCTCCCTGGTGAAGGTTTGGAAAAAACAGTCGTGGCAAGAGGAGGGGGCGATGTGTTCATTACAGGAAGTAAGCAGCACAATTGCATTCTAATAAATCAGCGCAGATTTCAGAGCAGCACGGGGTCTCGCGGGCTCCTCGGGCCGTGGAATTCAATATGATATGCTTCAGCCTGTCGGCTAATGGGCTGCTGCTGCATGCCACGTGACCCAGCCTTCCCGGGGACGTGAAACGATGCTGAAAAGTGGCCCAGATTTATTTATTGGGACAGTGTGTATTCCTGCCTGTGGGTGTGTGTGGAAATGACAAGTAACGAAAACAGGTATTTGTGAGTGAAGTGGGAGGGGACGGGATTTCACACTGCCCCTGGGGCCAGGCCAGAAGCCCCTGGCCTTACTCAGGGTCCTGTTGCTGGGTCACTGTCCCTTGCCCCAGGTGATCTACTGCCCCCTCCCTGCTTTGAGCATCAGTGTCCCCATCTGTTAAATCCATCCATTCATCTATTATTCCCTTTCTCCCTTACCATCCATTCGTTTCTGGAATACTCCGCCCACTGTGTGGCCGGACACATTCTGATGCTACGAACGCAGCTTCCCACAGGGTGAACTGTCTCCCTGAGGTCCAACAGGGAGACAGATGACAGCTGAGCAACTGCCACTAGACATGTGTCCATTTTGCCTCCTTAAAACCTCTGGAGTCTGTGCCCTTCACCTCCAGAGCCACATCCAGGCTGCCGTTGTGGCACCTCTGGCCCAGACATGGCACCTGCCCACTCTTGGTCCTCACAAATTGTAAGCTCTGTCACCTTTAAAAACACAGCCCTGTGGGACACAGTGATGCCCAGCTGGAACGATCCTTCGAAGCCAGCCTTGCAAGTTAGCAGGACCCTGTCCCAAGATAAGATTTAAAAAAGGGCTGGGGTGTGGCTCAGTGCCAGAGCACCCCTGGGTTCCCTCCTCTGTATTGAAAAAAAAAATTAAAACCGAACTAAGCAAACAAACACAGCCCTGATGGTGCCATCCTTCGAACCCTTTCTAGTAAAAAGGAATCCGCATGCCTTAGTTGACCCTGTCCCATCTGCCAGCAAGAGCTTCCCTGAACTTGTGGCTCCAGGCCCACAGGGGCCACATCTGTGGTATCTACTCCACCATGGATGGCGTGTGCTGGCACACAGAGGCACACGGTACTTATTGAATGGGGAGAAGGTGGGGGGCGCAGAGGCACAGGCCCCAGCCTGCGGTGAGTCAGAGGGGCCAGGAGGGGACTCGGTCTTACTCCTCATAGCAGCAGAAGCCACGGAGGAGGGTGGAGCAGGGATGCCCTTGTCTGACCCACATGGCCAAGGGTCCCCCAGCATGCAGGGGAGACACTGACCGCTGTGACAGAGGCATCAAGGCAGGTGGGACAGCAGCGGGGTGGAGTGGCAGAAGGCCCTGCTGGTGCTCAAGGGTCGTGGTGACAGAAAGGAGAGCGGGAAACACCTTTCTTCTCCACTTGAGGAGGTAGGCTAGGGGTACGAAGCCTGGGTATGGAAAGAAGGGTCTGGTGTAGGCTCTACATCCCAAGGGACCCTGCATACCAGGAAGGGTCCTCCTATGACCCTGGGTGGGTGGGTGGGAAGGCAGAGGGGCTGTTCTCTAGTCAGTCCTTCATTTGCGACCTGCAGGGCATCAGCCCTAGTGGATTGAAAGGACTTCACTGCACACGGCAAAGCAGACCTTGATTACCTGGGAAGGACCATCCTCGGTGTTTTTTAAAATTTGCATTTTACGAAGTGGTTTTGTTTTTGTTTGGTAAATAAGTGTACAACTTCATATTAGGCTGAGAAGACTGAAGAGATTCTGGACCTTCACCCCTTGTCTCTGTGTCCACTAAGTTCTGTAGTCAGAAGTTGCCTTCATTCACTCCCCCACTCATCCATTCACTCCCCCACTCATCCATTCATTCATTCACCCATTTATTCATTCATTCACCCACTCATTCATTCACTCATTCCACACACATTTCCTAGTACCTGGGATTCAGACAGAAAGGAGTGCAGCCCTGGAGAGTGGATGCAGAGATTCACAATGAGGTGAGTAAGGGACACACAAGGGCCGAGGCAGTTCCAAGGCAGGGGAAGCCAGCCTGGGAGAGCAGGTTGGGCCCTGCAGAGGAAATGACCATTGACTGCTGGGTGAGTCAGAAACTCACCAGGCCCACAGGAGAGAGGGACATTAGGGGCCAAAGGAGGTGACTAGACCTAGCACTGGAGAGATGGGGGAGCAAGGGGCATTTGTGGAATGGTGGAACACGGGAGGAACAGGGAGCTGAGGGTTGTGGAACTCAGCAGGACTGCCCCGGGTTCCCCTGCAAGGGGCGCCACTTAGAGTCCTCCCAGTGTGTCACTGACTTCCTGTGAGGAGCACAACCTCTATGTGGACTGTGGGGGAGCTGGGTCCCAAGTGAGAAGCACCCCAAACAGGGTGAGGAGTCGAGCTGGGTCCTGGTGGAGGCAGGGGGCAGGACGTGATCAGCTTGGTGGTTCAGAAAGGCCACTGCAGCTTTTGGAGAGTGGGAAGGAGGCAGGGAGACAGTTGGCTCCAGACAAAGGCCCATGCAGAATACAGATTTTGCAAAACTACGACACAAGTCCAATTCTTTTCATCTGCAAAGAGATGCTACAAATCAACAAGAAGATCAGGAGGAAAATGAGCAAGAGGATGAGCAGCCAGTTCACAGAGAAAGGAAACACTAATGGCTTTTAAGCACACACAAAAGAGTCTTGGCCGCATTGACAACACGAGACGTGAAAATTAAATCTATAATGAGATGATGCCATGTTTTTCATCCATCAATTGGCAAAATTTAACGTTCTGACAATACGCCGTGCAGGAGAAGACGGGGAACTGGCCCTCTCCCATTCTACATTGCTGGTGGAGCTGAAAACAGGTCCAACCTCTTTGAGGACAATTGGGCTCCCCAATTTAAAATGCACAGGGGTGGGGCTGCCGCTCGGCGGTAGAGCATTCTCCTAGCCGGTGTGAGACCCCAGGCTTAATCCCCAGCACCACACAAAAAATAAAATAAAATGCGTGTACACTTTGACCTAGTAACTCAACCTCCAGGACAACGTGGTCCACACACATAAAGATGCATGTGCAGCAACTGTCCCTGCGATGCTTTGTATAGTAACAGGAAACTGGAAATGATCTAAATCCATCAACAAAGTCAACTAGAAGCAATCACAGTGTATGGTGCGGTGGCACACTAAGGTGTCATTAAAAACCGAGGCCCTGGCTGGGCGTGGTGGTGCACACCCGGAGTCACAGCTACTGGGGAGGCTGAGGCAGGAGGACCAGTTGAGCCCAGGAGTTGGAACCAACCTGGGCAACATAACAAGACCTGTCTCAAAAACAAAATCAGAGGCCCACTTCCATGGTATCTGCAATAATGTCCAAGAAATAACGGGAAATGACAAACCACAGCATGTACAGGACCAGGTACGAGAAAGAGGGCTTTTGCCCCTGTGCTTAGACCCCTCTCTTGCCACTACTTTTGTCCCCTCCCCTGCTGTTAGGAACCACTTCATACTGTGTGTGAGCACAGACCAAGAATTCAAGAGTGGTATTTGGGGACCCTGAATTGAAACCTGCCTCCCTGTAGGCAGCCTCTTTCCTGACTGGGGGTCGGGAGCTTGAACTTTGGGGTAGATGCTCTGGACGTCCTGATGTTTGTGTGCTCACATGTTGGTGGCTTCGGGTGGTTGGAGTGGAGGGACTTTCTGACCTGCAGTAATGTCGAGTGCTTCCTTCCCTCTGTAAACTGGGTGATGGACACAGTTAGCTCTCGGGATGCATGGATTCTGCCTCTGAGGAATCAACCAATAGAGGATCAAAAATATCCCCACAAATAACAGCATCCTTTACCAAACAAGTCGCCCCTTTTTTTCCCTCATTCTTAGTCCCTAAACAGTACAGTGTAACAACCATTTCCATAGCATTTGTCACATTAGTTATTATAAGAGATCTAGAGATTATAAATATATAATACTAGTACTAGGGATGAAATCCATGTGCGCTTTACTACTGAGCCACATCCCCAGAGTTTTTATTTTTTTTATTTTGAGACAGGGCCTCACTACATTGCTGAGATTGGCCTCAAACCTGGATTCTCCTGCCTCAGACTCCCGAGATACTGGGATTACAGGTGTGCACCATCGCGCCCAGCTAGAGATCATTTAAGGTATAAGGAGGATATGTAGAAGCTATTCCCAGCACCGCACTGTTATATCAAATTGTGGTATCAGTGGGGGGCCTTGGAACCAATCCACGCGGATACCAAGAGAAGAGTGTACTGGCTGAGGGTTGTGCCATGTGTTGGTGTGGGTGGGTACAGCTGGCTGCCCCTTGGGACTCGAGGGGGTATCTATGGGTGCGTTTCTGTGTTTCTCTCCAGCTGTGGGTCGTATAAATGTGTGAGCACATGTCCTATTTTAGTCTGGGAAGAGGTGTGGTAGGTGATTCTGGCACCCTCGGGGAATCCTAGAACCAGTCCCTGTGGATACCCAGAATGGCTGTGTGTGTTGGGGCGGGGGTGCTCTGAGCAGCCAAATGATAAACATAGCTCTTTTTCTTGGAGCAGCCATTTTACTTGAAGGTTAAGAGGGAGAGAAACAATTATATTAAAAGAAATATGTGGGACTGGGATTGTAGCTCAGAGGTAGAGTGCTCACCTACCATGCATGAGGCACTGGGTTTGATCCTCAGCACCACATAAAATAAAAAAAAAATAAAGATATTGTTAAAAAAAGAGAAATATGTATAGTGGCAAAACAATATTATCTTTGTGATCACCCAGTCCCATTTCATTCTTTTCTCTTGGGGTATGGAGGACACATACCCCTGTACCAGCATCTTTGTACAGGCTAGGTGACAGCATTCTAGCCAAGGGTGTGTGGATAGAGGTGGAGTTGGCTGCACTCAGAGCAAGCACCTGTCATCCTCTGTCTTTTCTTTGCTGAGGCAACTGGAGGCCACGGACATGGAAGAATGCGGGCTGGAAGCAGCAGGAGCCAAGTGGAGGAGAATCATCCTGGAGGGCCACTTGACCTGTGGCAACATCTGCATGAACAAGAAACAAACCTCTGCTGGTTCAGTTTATTTATTATCTCAGTAGAGCTTAACCTACCTAACTAAAATAAGTATATGATATGGAGTAGAGTGCATTATTCACAGGACTTTTAAAGTTAAAGCCAGAGGCTTCAGATACATGGGGGCTTCCGCTGGCCTCTTTGGGCCATGCCTGTACTTCTGCCCATCAGTCTGGGCCCTGTTTTATGCCAGCACAACCAGTGTCTCTTGATCAGAGTTAAGCAAGAGGTAAGCTCAGCGCTGGTCTCCAAGTTCTCCCAAATCATCCCACTGGAGTGAGAAAAGCCAGTTGCAATGGACTAAATGTTTGCCTCTCCTCCCTATTAATTTGATGAACTCCTCACCCCCAGAGATGGGATTAGGAGGTGGGGCCTCTGTGATTAGGTCAGGGGTGGAGATTCATGCCCTTATAATAGGGACCCCAGAGAGCTCTCTTGCTCTCTTTCTGCCAGAGAAGGATACAGCGAGAAGATGCCAGTCTGCAGCCTAGAAGAGGGCCCTCGTGGGAACCTGAGCATGCTGGCATACTGATCTTGGACTTCCATCTTCCCAAACTGGAAGAAATAAATTTCTGTTATTTATAAGCCACCCAATTTATGGCACTTTGTTATGGCAGCCTAAATGGATTGATGCCCATACAATCTGGGGGGCCAGCTCCTCTCTTGAGCTCTGGAGTGGACTGGCCCAGAGTCTTGCACCATGGCCAGCATGATACACCCAACATTAGGAGCCACAGTGGCTCAGGCAGTGCCCAGGATCGTGGCTGGGCTCAGGTGGTTGGGAGAAGTGCTTGGTGGTCATGACCTTGGAGAATTAAATTTTCCTAGGCTCCCAGCTTTGTAAAAAAAAAAACAAAACAAAAAAACCTGTCATTTATCTCACAGGTAAAAAGCTGGAAAGATGAAGATAGCATTTGAGACTTCTGCCTTAAGTGCAATCCAAACAGACAAACCAGGTAAGAGCGGAATCCTGCTGTGAAGCCCTGGAGCCTGAGCCCTCTGGGCTCCCTCTGTAGTGAGTGTTTGATGGAGCGTTGGCTGAGGGCTGGTGCTGACTTTGGCTGCTTCCTCTGATCAGAGTGAAACAGAATCCTTCACTGAAGAGCCTTCACTCCTGTCCCTTCCTTGCTGGGCACAGGGACAAGGGCCTTGGGCCCTCTGGGCTTCCCTTGCCTCATTTGTCACATGGAGAGGCTTCACTGCAGTCCTGTCTTACCCTGAAGCCCTTCACGCCTGGAGGGGGAGCTGGAGCTGCTTGGGTTCACGGCAGAGGTGGGGCCGGACCCTGAGGGCCACCACCTAATGCCCAGGGCTCCTGTGGGCGGCAGCAGGGTGCAAGGGCCCTTCTGGACTCAACCATCTCCACTCAATCCCCAAAGACACACCTGTCCTGGAGGCAGAGGGCTGAGGCAGGGTGGACTCGCAGGCTGCTGTGGCTGCCTCCTCCCCGCCTGGCTCTGGGACTCCTGGCAGGCAAATGTAGGCTTCTGCAGCAGACAGCGGGATGACAGCTCTACCACACTGCAGAGCCACCATCTTGACACAGGAACCCAGGACTGAACGGCTGGCACACAGAGGAGAGGCACGAGGCCCGGATAGGATCTGAATACTTCATAAAATGACAACCACGAGGAACCCAAGGAGGTGCCTGCCTAGGTGGCTTCCCACCACGCAGGACTGTGTGAAACGTGCATGTCTCTGATGCCACAGCGGGGTGGAGCTTTCCAGGGAGCTGGGGTCTCACTTTATTTTTAACTCCAGGCCATCTGCTTTCCACTTACCACCGGGTGGTCCAGAGTCTGGGAAATATTCAGAGTGAACATATGTCGCTCCCAGAGGGCTGAGGGGGAGGAGGCGTGGGGAGGAGGCGTTGGGAGGGGGTGAAGCCTCGCTCCTGGGGACAGAGCCCAGGTGCACCAGCAGTACTGGGAGGGGCCTGGGTGGTGCAGTCCTAGCGGGACTAAAACTTACAGAGCACACCTGCTTAGCCCAAGTCCACACAGTGACTGCCACACACACGGAGCCACAAGGGTCGTCCTTTCTCCCAGGGACAGGTGTCCCTGCCACAGTCTCTGACATGTGGCCTCACTCTAGGGACAGGCCCTTCCCCAGCAGATCAAAGGTTGCAAGATTTCCCAAACTCCTTCCTCTCGCTCCCCCAGGTCTCCTCCTTGAGGCAATAGTTAGCTTCCCGGGCAAACATTGACTGTGAGGAGACAAAAAATTAAAAGGTGCCCTTTTCTCACCAATTGACCCAAAATGAACAAGCACTGTCCACCCCGGTGGATTTGCTGTCAGAGATTATCATGCAGAAGAAACTGTCAATACTCCGCAGCCATTTATACAATGAGCCTGTGGTTAGCAACACTCAGCTTCGTTTTATTATTGCATTTTACGAAGTTACCAAGACAACTGAGGCCAAGTAACAGAACCTTGACTTCATGCGCCATGAAAATTTAATAAAGAATTTTTAAAGGCTTTTAAGAGGCAGGAGCAGCAGCTTCTTGGAGGCAGAGCTGGGCTCTGGGGAGGAAGGCTTGAGCCCATGGGGTCTGGCCAGACCCGCAGGAGCCTCCTCCGAGCAGGGGCTGATGGGGCAGCAGCAGTGTTCCCCACATGCCTGGGCTTCAGCATATGCAGACCAGGCCTTTTCTCAACAGACGTTTAGAAGACACTTTCCAGGTGCCAAGTCCCCCACCAGGTTGTTGGCATCCGTCATGACGTGATCTCCGCTGCACAGGCAAGGGACAGGGGTCAGGGCGGGGAAGTCACTGGTCCATGATTCAGGGGTGGAGAGGGTAACAGAGCAAAATCCAGGCTCAGGTCTGGCTCCAGAGCCCTCCATCCTTCTAGAACAGTTCGCGGCCTCCTCTGGGATTCTTCCTTCTGATGCAAGATGTTCTGAAGGGAAAATATCCCTGAAGTCTGGGTGGGTCCTGGGGGAGTCAGAGTGAGGAGCCATGTCCAGGGGCCAGGACGAGAAACCTGGTTGGACTCTCGGCAAACACTTCCCTTCATGTGGGAGGAAGTGCCTCCCAGGAGCCCTTCGCTGAGCGGCCCCGGGCTGCACAGAGCCCTTCTTCCTGAGTTCTTTAAATCAGACTCAGGAGCAGATTGCCAGAAATGAGGGTAACACGGGTGATTTTACCATTTTATACCCAAACTCATGGTGTGTGTGTGTGTGTGTGTGTGTGTGTGTGTGGAGAGAGAGAGAGAGAGAGAGAGAGAGAGAGGCTGTATGGTTTTTCTAGTTACTTAAGACGGTTGGTTACAAGAGACGAAGGCAATTGAACATGGTGACTGTTCTGTGGAGTTCCTTTGTCTCTGCAAAAATGGGCTTATTTTGTAAGGAAAAAATTTATATGCCATGTGGGAGAATTTCTCTTGCATTCATCAAACCAAATAGGAGACTGACAGAAAATATCAGTCTCAGCGAGGTGGATTTTAGGTTAAAACGCACTGTGGTGAATCCTCCTCACTGAGCCGGGACAGCTCTCTCGGACCCTGGGAGTGCCAGCTCCCTGATGGGAGAGTTCATCGCTTCTGAACTTGGAGAAAAGGTGCTTGAACACTGAAGGTCTCAATTACAGGGACGAGGAGGTTTAGGACATTAGTCAAGAAATGTAAGAAAAAAAAAATTAAGCTATTTTGGAGTTAACACTGTGCCAATCACAAAGAAAATCCCAGACGTCAGAGGAACAGCAGGGACCGTGCTTCAGGCTGTGACTATCTTTAAATATGTGAGGACGCAGGGAGGGGGAGGAGGGAAGGGAGAGGAGCTGACCACTTTGGCTTCATTTGTCTTCGGACATCTTTCAGGGAAGCTTTTACCTTCCTCCCGCTCTACTTTGTAGGAAACCAGAAGCCAGTCTGAAGGTGACATTGCATTTTAGTAGCACTTTGGTTTACAAAACTCTCTCACATTTATTATGCTTTCCATTATCTCACCTAATGTTCCCAAGATTAAGTGAGAGAGGATATTGTGTCCCTGTTTGGTGGCTGAAGGCCTGGAGCTCTTCCTGTCTGGTCTGTGTGGCCCGCAGAGCCTTCCTGAAGGGCGCGGAAGGTCAAGAGCAGGTCAGAGAGCCCCTTGCCCTCACAACGCCTGCGTATTTGCTGGGCAAACATCAGGTCCTCCGAAACGTGGCTTTCCACATCTGCTGAATGGGGCCAAGATCCGCGATGGGGTGGAGGAAAGAACGTGGCTCTGGGGCCAGGGTCCTTGGAATGAGTCCTGGCTCTGTCCTTCACTAGCCTGGAGACCTTGGACAAGCCATGTGACCTCCTGGACATCAGAAAAGAGAGTGATGATAACCCTTACCCTTCTCTGGGTCATTGGATCAAATGAGAAGATGGATATGAAAGGACTTTGTGAACCGAGAGGCCCTGAACATACGTTGTTTAATTCACTCAGGAAAGGGAGTCGGTTCCAGAAAGGCCCAGGACACCGTTACAAATGTCTAGTCCTCCCTGGCCCTGTCCGGTCCCACTCCCATACTATCTGCACTCCCAGCAGGATGACCTTCTCTGAACTAAACACCCCGCACAAAAACATGTTGGTGTCAGGGGAGAGACGGGCTGGCTGCTGGACTGAGGAGCCATGGTGAGCACCATCCTCCATCTCCAGGGATGAAAGGCAGGGAGACAGGGCCAAGATCTGAGCCGGGGCACACAGAGAGATTCCCAGGGCCAGAAAAGTCAACTAGGGTGGGGTGGGAGCTTATGGGATGGCTGCCATGCTCGGGGAGAAGACCAGGCAGCTGGGAATGTTGAGGTGTTCAGCAAACAGGCTTGGCAAGGCGCAGAAAACCAAGATCCTGGAGGGCATCTGCAGGCCATGGAGAGAAGGAACCGGCAAGGAGCCTCCTCCCTTGGGCTGCTCGGTATCCTGTAATTTCAACAAGCACCTCCAGGGGCCTCTCTCTGTGCCCCCGGGGTGGGCCTGGTAACAGAGGGACTTCCTAGGGTCTCAGATGGATATGGGAGCTGTTCTTTCTGCATGGGGGACTGCTGTGGGGTATTAGAGCTGGACCTTGAAGGGAGCCATTATTTACCATTGTCCAGAGGGCCAAGGGAGCAGGAGCAGCAGGGTGGGGACAAGGGCAGGTCCCTGCTGGCACCTTCCCATGGGTGGGAAATGCTACATTCTCTTCCTGTCTGACAATGACAGATACAAAGAGCCCTGGGAGAGCCTGGCCAGGAGGGTTGGTGTCCAGGCGTGAATAGGAAGGGAGGGCCTCCCTGGGGACAGCTTGGTCATCTGTGGCTCTCCAGTGCCCTTAGCCTATAGAGGTGGAGGGTGGTGGGAGGGGCTGAGCAGTGAATGGACACCAATGAAGTCCAGGCAAGAGGTGAGGGTTGAGCTAGGAGAGTAGACAGAGTTCATGAGGAGGAATAAGAGGAACCAAAGAGGGTTGTTCGGGGCCTGCGGCTCTGCTCTCCCGAAGGCCCTGCTCTGCCCACAGGGCCCAGCACTTGCTAACGACTGCCCTGAACCCGTGCATCTTGCAGCCCCCACTACAGGCTTCCTTCCAGCCAGGCCAGTGGGGACAAGACTCCTTTCCTGAATACAGGAAATGGAGCCTACTTCCCTGGGGGCTGGAAGGACAGGCACAGGCAAGGTCACCACACAAGACACGAGGAAGCTGGACAGGGACACCAAAGGGGCAAGACTGGCACCTGTGGAAGGCATGGCCTGGGCCAATCCGTCTGTTCTCTGGAAGTCGTTGTCCTCCCTGGACACTCCACGGATTTAGACTTGGATGTACCTGTCCTAAAGGAGTCCAGGCTGAGACCATCTTCTTACACCTTCTTTCCACACCCCCTGGAAGCCTGGCCCTTCAGGAGCTCAGCTGATGGACAGCAGTAGGAGGGGGCGGAAGGGCAGGCAGGGCGGGGGGAGAAGAGCTGGGGAGGATCCCCAGGGCCCTTCTAAGAATGGGCTGCAGCCCCGTGCAGGGGACCCTGAGCTCTGCACTCAGGGGTCTCTGGGCCTGCCCAGCCTCGCTGGCTCTCATGATGGCAACCTCATTTCCCTATGAGTCACAGACAAGATTCCACGTCCTCCAGAACACAGGGCTTCCCCAGGGTCCTGTCCACAAAAGAGGGGACTCCTTCCAGCACTAGGGGCTCCAGAACTGACAGTGACCTGCTTGCATATGATGGGCAGGTGGGGGTGCAGAGGACATCTCTCACCATGAGTGCTGACATTTTTATGTCATCCCAAACCAGGTGGCTGAAATTCAGCCTCATTGTTTCCTACCCCAACCCCAATCCAGTGTACTTGGTTGGTTTTAGGCTTGAAGATTGCTCTCCATTTTGGCAAGCTAGCACTCTCTGAAGACCCACCTGGGGACGTGTCAAGCTAGAACTCTGTTTAAAAGACTCTTTGCAGTCCCCAGCTGATGACAAGGGTGCCCTGACACATCTATCTACTCTACTGGGGCCTTTCACTTTCCATTTGTCCTGTCCAAAGGGTACAGAAGAGCAGGCACGGGGGGGGGGGGTCTTGAAAAATCTGTTCCTCACAGTGTACCTCCCTCCACATACATCCTTCTTCCCCTGGTTCTTACCTGGATCTCATGTCTTTTCTCTGAAGCTCACTACCCTTCCTGATAACTATCAGCACAGTGTTGGGTACATGGGGCCCTTGTCCTTGGGACCAGAGCTTCACCCTTGCAGGGGTCCACTGAGGCCACAGGACCATCTGGACAGGGAGGCTAAAGATGGAATTCCTGCTTTGGGGTCAAGGCCAAATAAACTCAAACAAAAGGGCCTGTGAGTCTCCTGCTGGCTCATAGGCTCTAGGAGCCTAACTTAGTTACATGGTAATTATTTCTTAATTAGTAACAAAGCAAACATTGCAGCAACAGGCAAGCTAATGAAATAAATGAGGCTAATCTGTTAACTACACCCGTGTAGCACATGATTGGGGCGGGAGGTTCGTGTCGGCCTACTTGGTATCTCCACTTCATTTTTGGAGAATGGGTGGTAGGAAATGAACGTGATGTTCTCAGACTTTAACCGGTGGCTCTCGGAGGCTGCCGCACACTCTAGGTCTCAGCTTCCTCTCTGCGGCTCTCCGTGTCAGGAGTGGCTGTGCCCTCCCGCCCCAAGCACGGCAGATTTGCCCTGGTTGGTGCTTCCTGTGAGCCCAGAATAGAAGGTGCCATCTGTCACATTTCAGATGTCATATGTCCACTGATGGCTCCAAAACAGGGTGGGTCTCCAAGAGGCGTGGGGAGAAAGGCGGGCAAGAGTCAGCCTCGCAAAGCAGGAGTGCGGCAGAACAGGGGACCGAACCGGAACCTCCGATGGGATCCTCCACGGCCTGTGTCCCCCACAGGCAGGAGCCCGGGGGGCTCCCTTCAGCCCTGAAGGGCACTCGCTTCTCCTGGGCAGACAAGAGGGCCTTCAGGACAGAGTGTGTCTGGGATAGGAGCACTTACTAGCACCGTTGGTGCGGAGTGGGGGGTTGCCCACCACAGGCTGGGCTGCAGGGCAGGCGCCCTGGGGCGAGCTGCCTTGGGAGAGATGGCTCCCCGCAGAGCCACCCCGGCTGCACAGCAGGCGCTTCTCGTCCAGCAGGGACAGGTGGTATTCGCACAGGTCGATCAGCGAGGCCACCTGTTCGTGGAGCGGCAGCATCTTGAACTTCCTCTGGGCCAGAAAAAAGAAAGCTTCTACAAACGCCTGCAGACACATCCCTGCGGACAGAGAGACCAGTGTCAGGGTGCTCCGAAGACGCCCTGGGAAAGCTCGACCCCGTACACCTGCTAGTGAGAGAGAGCCTGTCTCCCCACCAAGCTGCATTCTGGAAACTTCCACAGGCTCCAAACACAGTGGCTACCGGGCCCAGGCACTGGCCGGAGTTCTTTAGCCATTTATAGATCCCCCCCTTAACCAGCCCTATGCAGCAGTTTGAATACAGTCACAAAAACCGAGTCTCAGAGGAGAGGGGAGGCCTCGGTAGAAAGTAGTAGGGTTTGAATTTAAACCTAGCCCAAGGCCTTGTCCCTCATTAACACCCAGCTCCCTTACTTTTCTAATTAAGGGGGAAAGTTATTAAGATAAACCCAGGGCTGGGGATGTGGCTCAAGCGGTAGCACGCTCGTCTGGCATGCGTGCGGCCCGGGTTCGATCCTCAGCACCACATACAAACTTGTTGTGTCCGCCAAAAACTAAAAAATAAATATTAAAATTCTCTCTTAAAAAAAAATAAGATAAACCCAATCCGACAGCAAAATTCTGTATGTTCAAAGGGGCACTGGTTAGACAGGCACGGGCATTTGTCCAAATGCACCCAGTTGTGCCTTAAAGTTTACACATTGTGCTAGATGTAAAATTTACCTCAAAAAGTAAAGTTCAACCACCCCTTCTGTCTGGTCAAAATTATATTCCGGAACGTACGATGTGTGATCTCCACTGTATTCCTGAAATCTTCTTCCCCTGCTTTGCCTCATAAACTTCTACCCATCTTTGGATCTGAGCTCAAAATCCCCTGTTCAGTGAAACCTTCCTTATGTCCAGATGAGCTGTGCCCCCAGGAAGGGCTTTTTGCACCTTTATTTGCAGCATGACTGCAGCTCGCTTGGAGGGGGGTGTGATTCTTTGATTCTCTCCGTCTGTTCTGTAGAACTGTGAGCTGCATTCATCATTATCCCCAGTACCAGGTACCCTGAAGGTGCTCAATACAGACATGCCGGGTACATGAGTAATGGGTGAATGATGACTGAATGGGTGAGTTGAAGGTAGGCACTTTCAGACATTGCCACCGATCCTCATGAGGCCAATATCTTTATACCCACTTGACAGATGAGGAAACTGACAGATTAGATAACTTCTTAAGGTTATCCACTCAGAGAATCCTCTGCAAACTCAAAATTTTTAATTTTTATTTTTTAGGCACTGGGGATTGAACATAGGGGTGCTTGATCACTGAGCCACATCCCCGCCCCTTTTGATTTTTTTTTATTTTTTGAGACAGGGTCTTGCTAAATTGCTTAGGGCCTTGCAAAGTTGCCGAGGCTGGCCTTGAACAATCTCCAGAGTTGCTGGGATTACAGATGTGTGCCACTGCACTCTTCTTGGAAAGTCAAAAGTGTTAAACTTAGTTGGGCAGCATGAAAGGCTTTTAGTCTTTCCTACATCCTAGCGAAAATGAACCCTGGGGTCTAGATCTATGGGGTTCCCTGGGCTCCCTGGGAAGGGGACACTCAGGCCAGACTGAAGGCCAACATGTTACTTATATGAGACTGGCTCAGACTCCCCTAATCTCTACCTTCCCACTAGAGAGCACGTTATGCACCTGCCTGCCACCACAGGGCACAGCCTAGTCCAGAGTCTGTGGATACTGAATATATATGACCCCTGGGATTCAAGAATGCTTTTTGCTTTGAGAGTGAGCTGAGCAAACAGGTTAGTTTTTGTTTCTTTCCAAACCTCTTTTTGGCTCTGCTTCTTTTGATTCAAAAGTGCTGCAAGTCCCTGCACTGCTTGACCCTGATAGGAAGAGTTGATAATGAGCATGTGACCCTGGTGGAAAAACACTTTTGATGACAGAAGAGGAAGGAGATGATTCCTAATTACCAACTCTGGGCTAGGCTCTCCTGGGATGTGCACATATGTGTTGCGTGCATGCATATGTGGTGCACCCATACATGTGTGCACACGTGTGTATTTGAGCATGTGTGCATGCACACACAGTTGGGTAAAGGGTCAGATACACGGAGTAGAAGATTTAAAGCCAAAAAAATTCAGTCCCCATCCCGCATTTCCAACTGTGTGATCTGAAGAGTGTGGACCGCTGAGGTGCCAAGTTCATGAACTGCTTGGTCCCTGGTCCCTGACAAGATAAGGAGCTCGATGCAGAATGTAAATCACCCTCCTCATCAATCACATTGCTTAGTGCAGCTGACAGTGTTTTGTAGTAAGTCTTTCTGGATTAAGGAAGCAGCATGCTGTTTACATTCTGGCTCAAACGCGAGTTCAGGACTGTGACAAACAGTTCATGGATTGCAACTTTGAGTAGCTCTGATCTACAATAGTCTTAGCAGCTTTTTGTGGGCATCCCAGTCACCACAATCTTGTTAAAATGTGGATTCTGGGGTGGGGCCAAAGACACTGCATGCTGTTGGCTTTGTATGGCTCAGGAGCTGCTGGTCTCTGGGCCACACCGATTAGCAAAAGGGTCAAGGATTTGCTGCTTCTTTTCACTTAATAAATGTTACGTTTGTTCCTTTCATTGAAGGCAGAGTGTGATTAAAGCTATAATGCTCAGCAAGAAATACAGTGAGGACTTACGTGGGGGAAAAAGCATAATTTGGTTATCTGGAAGGAGGAGATGGGTGGGAGGGAGGGAAATGGGATTGAAAGTATGACACCATTGTCTTTTGCTTTCTTCATTTTCTGAGTTTCTTCAGTAAACATGCATGCAATTGTGAAAATACTTTCAGGGGGTGGTGGGAAGTGGGTATAGGGACAGCTACCTTTAGTCATGAACCCTTTGTGGCTGCCTGAACTTGAAGGCAGGTGCATGTAACACTTTGAAAAAAAATTGCAATGCAAATTTCTGTGAATATATTCAACTTTGATAAGATGTTTTAAATAACACTCCCCACATGTCCCCCTTATGCTTGGAGGATATGTTTCAACACACATCCACATAGCACCACGTCCCCCTGCCCTTCCCTGTTTATGCCCTGGTGCCCCCTTGTTATCACTATGCTTGTGCTCTGGGGCCAGTATTAAGTAAACAAGAGTCACTCAGGCACAAGCACTGCAATACTGTGACACTTGGCCTGATAACTGAGATGGCTGCCTGGTGACTAATGGGAAGGTAGCACGGCGGCATGGATACACTGGACAAAGAGAGGACTCCTGCCCTGGTGAGATGGAGTAGGGCAGCCTGGGGTTTTATCATTCTCCTCAGGTGCGCAATTTACAACTTTATGAACTGTTTACTTCTGGAATTTTCCATTTGCTATTTTCCGACTGACATTGACAGTGAGCAACTGAAACCAGAAAGTAAAGCTTTGGATAAGGCAGTTGGGTGCGGTGAGGGGACCACAGCAAAGGGAAGAAAGAGGTAGCCAAGGGTGATAAACATGAATGATTGTTACATGAGCCAGATGTACCCTGAGCCTCACTACAACTCCTAATGTGCAGATGAGGAAACTGAGGCCCAGAGTGATGAATAACTTGCCCTCAGGCCTCACGTCGGTAAGTGGTAGGACAGGTATTCCAGCCCAGGCCTTGTGCATTGCTGACTCTCTGCCTTATTGACCTTCCCAAGCATCCTTACCAAGAATGGGGGAAGAACGCAGTTAGAGAGGACAGACAGGCCGAGATGGACATAGCCCAAGCAAAGACTGAGAAGGTCTGGGGTTGGGGGTCAGGGGAGGTTTGTGGGGAAGAGACATCAAGTTGGGCCTTGAAGAGTGGGGAGGAACTGGATGGGCAGAGGCGTGCTGGGCGAAGGACAGGGACATGGCAAGACACGGTAGCAGCGCGTTAGCAACTGGGGGCACCTGCAGCGGGGCAGGGAGGGGCCGGCTGGAGCAGACTCCTGGAGGCTGCAGCCACTCAGGGGCTGGGGTTAGTGCCAGAGGAAGTGAGCTGGGCCAGCCTCTGGAGTCCCACACCTCCAACAGCCCCATCACATTTTCTTGTCCGGTGATCTTGAACTACATCTTCTACACTGATAGAAACCTGTGAGGGGTGTTTTTTATTTTTTCTCAAATGAAATCTTATGAAGAGCGCAGCCCAATATGCCAGCTAGGTGAAGGGACCCCTCTCTGTTTAAGTCAGGCAGTGGTGGCTCAGAGCCTTCCCACAGGCCACTTGTTCCTCAGGACCTTTGAACCTGGTCAACCAGCCAGGCCACCGTCATTATCTTGGAATCTGTGCCAGGCATCTTTGTCTTATCAAAGGGCTGGTGACACATGAGATTCCAAGTCACAGTAACAGACAAAAAACAAGACCAGGCTCCAGGTCTGCTGATGAGCTCACAGCACCCTTTACCTGCACGACACCCCATCCCCCACATAGAAGCTGAAAGAAATCAGCCCACACATTTCTGGGGCCAGGGTCTGGGGAAGAGAGGCCGTCTCCACTGCCCTGCAGCCCTGTGTCCTTTGCCCAGCCCTGTGGAGTGTGTCCCAGCAGGTGCCGAGGGCCACGAGGGCTGGGAAGAGGGTCCCACACAAACTGTACACGCTGAGCATAGGGGCCCCCTCCAAGAGGCTGCACCTCTGAGACTGGCTTTGATCCCCATTTCATCAGCGGCCCAGGAAAACAGTGGCCTGACCCAGGCCAGCATTCAGCGAGCTTCAGAGATCTGAGCCTTTCCAGGGCTCCGAGGAGGTGGGAGGGAGGAGGAGGAGAACCGAGGGGAGCCAGCACACACAGAATAACCTAATTTGGATTCAGGATCAGGTTGCTGGGATTTCCACCAACGAAGCGAGTCAGGATGGGGCAAGAGGGCAATTCTCACCTGACTGGGGGTTCCAGTCTTTTCTAGAGCCTTCCCAGATAGTGAATACGTTCTATCAGGAGGATCCAGGTCTTTCTCCTGCTTTCTCACTACTTATTACAGAACACAGTGGGGATATTAGTGGGGTATGAGGAGAAGCTCAGTCGCTGGCCTCCCTCTAGAACACAGGTGTGCTAGTCAACTGCCCTTCTACCACTTTCTGTCCACTGGAGG